TACGTGAACTTGATGCTCGCATTGGCGGTATTGAAGAACGCAATCAGCTGGCGGAGAAGCGCGGCCCCCAGTGTCCACAGCATAATGATGTCATCAATATAACGCTTGTAGAGTACGGGAGCACCAGGCGAGTTTAGCAACAGCGAGGTTTCGAGGTCATGCATGAAGATAATCGCAAACGGGGGCGCTAGGTTGTTACCCATGGCGATGCCTTCCCTCTGGTGGTAGACCTTCTCACCAAATCTGAAATAATTGGATCTTAGAACGAAGGTTAACAGCTCTTCGATCTGCTCCACGCTTAAACCAAATGTGTCAACAGACTCGATGTGCTGCTGCAGGACTCTAGCAACCGCCTGCACCCCTTCAGCGATAGGGATACTTGGGTAAAGAGCGACCACGTCCATCGTAACGATGATGGTCCCCGCTGGGGCTTGTAGGTCGGGATACACTTGCCGGATATCCTCCAGTGCTTCCAGCGTGTTTTTCAGATGTGCTGGGACATACTTCAGGCATTGGTTGAGTATACGCTCCAGGACAATAGAAATATTGGTCACCGGGCTATCAACAGCTGACACAACTGGCCGAAGCGGTACCGTGGCTTTGTGGTCTTTAGGTAGGCCATACATCTCCGGAAACCTGTTGTCGCCAGGGAGTATGGCTTGGTACAGGTCCTTCTCTAGTGTACCACCACAGACGCGTTGAAGGATGGTGCGCGTTTGCTTCTCCCAATCATCGATGGTGACACTGACGGGTGTGAACCTTTTTGACTATCGATCCACGTTGAAGTTACCATTCAAAACGGATGCCATCCACTACAGGGTCCACCGTCTTCTAAACAAATACAATCTAAATGTACAGATAATCTACAAGAATGCAAGGCTTTCCAACAGCGTCACTAAGTCCAGCCTCACTGGACCTTGCTGCCGTAAGTGGGTGGATCCCGCTGCCCCGAGGCGACGAGGAAGGCCTAAAGCCGCCTGCGTTGCATGCCAATCGAGCGAGGTAGAATGCACAAGACGCAACGTGGTTTATCGTCTGACCTGCAAGTGCTCGGAGAAGTATGTTGGAGAGACTGGCCGCAGTGTAGCAACGCGAACAAAAGAACACAATGATAACTCACGCAACAAGACGTCTGGAAAAGCCCTGGGCGAGCACTACCGACTTCACCATGGCGACGAGGTACTGCCGCTTGGCGAGTCGGCATTCACAGAGATTCGCGTCCTTGCCACTGAGTCGGATCGGGCCAGGAGGAGAATACGCGAAGCAATACAAATTCGCGACACGAGCCCCAGCATAAACAATAACGCAGGGTGGGACCTCCTGTGAATTCTCTGGTGAGGCCTTGTACATATTTCTGGCCCTGATACTCGCTCTTCCTGGATGGTGGTGGTTTAGCACCCCTTGAACTAGTGCACTGTTACTACTACTGTTGTTGCTAGCGCCTGCAATTACATGTCTGCACGCACCTAGTGCACATGTACATTCTGTTTGTTGCTTGTACCTGTGCCATTTTTAGAGTTGTCGCGTATTGCGTTATTTCTATACCTGGGGTTTTTTTTTTGGTGATGTTTTGTCCTTTTGTTCTCTCTCTCGTCATAGTGCATGCAGGTGTGATTTGTTATCAGTTTGCAGCGCTCCTCGTATATTAACCCATCCTAACCGGTGTGCCCACTTCATTCCTGATGATGGTTATTTCATGACCGAAACGTTGAAATATAATATTTTTCTGGTGAAAAGCAGTTATTTGAGTGTGACCCAGTGTTGCTCACAACCAATTTTTTACTTATGAAGCTGCGTGATGCGTCCTACAAGATTTAATAATAATAATAATAATAATAATAATAATAATAAAGGGTTTGCTCCCCACACCGGAGCTCGCGCTATTCCGCCGACTTTACTTGACACTTGACTGACTCACGACTGCCATCCAGAGCACACGAGAAGTCCATCGAACCTTCGACTCGGCAAACCTGCAAGAAAGCACCACTCCCTGCTCAATACACAGTGTTTCGGGGAATTCACCCCTCATCAGTTGAGCTTGAGTAGGCTGAGGAAGATTGTGCCTGAAGAGCACCACTTATATAGTGCTCTCCAGGCACAAACATCACCAGGGATACAAACTTACAGAGACGCTCCGTTTCCAGCGCGACAAACACCTCGTGAACACCAGATAGCAGCGTGAGTCAGTGTCGCTCCTGGACGGTGAGACAGACGTCGAGGACCCTCGGTCATTCGCAACGCTGTCACCTCCAAACCAACTAGTCGGAAGCCCGCGCTGGGCACAACAGTACGAAGTAGTGGTTGCGACTTCGGCGATGACTTGTAAGAAAGGGTTTGCTCCCCACACCGGAGCTCGCGCTATTCCGCCGACTTTACTTGACACTTGACTGACTCACGACTGCCATCCAGAGCACACGAGAAGTCCATCGAACCTTCGACTCCGCAAACTCGACAAATGTCCACAACGTCTCCCCGTCCAATGACATTTGTCGAGTTTGCGGCACTCGCGGGGAAACAGTTGATCACATTGTGGCCTGTTGCCCAGCTCTAGCCAAAACACTGTATATCGAACGGCATGACACGCTCGTCAAGTTGGTGCATTGGGCACTATGCAAGCGGCATGGTCTGGGTCGGCCGGGAAGCAACCCGCTGAAGCATCATCTTTGCTTTGACATCCATGAATGTGCAATATGACGGTCCTCACAGCCTGATTTTTGTCTTGCCATTTGAGTATGTCCGGCATTCATCTCTTCCTCTATTTCTACAGGTCTATTCCTGTACTGGTAGTCCATTTTTGTGATTACTCTTTTTGTATTCGAATATGTCCTGGCCTCCTCCATCGTTCTGCTTATTTCTGTCCGTCTCTCAGTTTCTGCGTCGGCTTTCAATATTTTTGCTTTGGTTTTTACAATCCTTTTTGCTTCGGTCTCCATTGCGTTGGCCATTTATCTATTTTTTTCTCTCATTACCCTTGGTCTCTTTTGGCCCGGTGATGGGGTTCTTACCTCATGTCATGACAACGTGAGTGAAATAAAGCCAACTCCATAATAGTAATTGTCTCTTTCCCTCAAACCAGTTAATAATAGTAATAATAGTAATTCAAAGGATCAATTGGGGAAGTGAACTACCTGAAAAGAGAAAAAATCGCCAGACCCACCAGGACTCGAACCCAGGACCTTGCTTGTCATGAGCAATGCTCTTACCACTGAGCTATGGAACCGGGCTGAACCTAGAAGGCGCTGACAAGTCTTTCACTCCAAAGGCAGCTCACAACACGTGCCACACACACTGATGGCACTTGGGTCTTTCTCCCTCCCCCAGGGGACCAACCACGGTCAGTTTCTGGACCCTACCAAAAGTGAAAAGAGAGTGATAAATTTTGAAAGAATTGGGAGAACTTCAAATTCAAAGGATCAATTGGGGAAGTGAACTGCCTGAAAAGAGAAAAAATCGCCAGACCCACCAGGACTCGAACCTTCTGGTAGGGTCCAGAAACTGACCTTGGTTGTTCCCCTGGGGGAGGGAGAAAGACCCAAGTGCCATCAGTATGTGTGGCACGTGTTGTGAGCTGCCTTTGGAGTGAAAGACTTGTCAGCGCCTTCTAGGTTCAGCCCGGTCCCATAGCTCAGTGGTTAGAGCATTGCTCATGACAAGCAAGGTCCCGGGCTCGATTCCTGGTAGGTCTGGCGATTTTTTCTCTTTTCAGGCAGTTCACTTCCCCAATTGATCCTTTGAATTTGAAGTTCTCCCAATCCCTTCAAAATAATAACAATAATAATAATGTAGAAAAGAAAAGGACATATGGATACGAGTTAAGAGTAACTCTCCATCACTGTAACTGGATACTATATACAGTCAGAAAGTGCAATAACTAGGCACAAAACTGACAGAGTACTGAGACATTCGACGTCCTGACACCTAGCTTCAACACATCTCCGTAGCGCTAACCGACAGCCTTCCAACTTGGAAGGTTCAAGGTTATGAAAAGACCAAAGAGGGAAGGCAAGCGCAACGAAAACGAGCAAAAGCTACAGTCCCAACGGAACAAAGAATGTTGATTGTTACTGGACGATGACGAGACCAGTACGATATTTGACAAGGCGGTCAAACTACAATTTGAAGCAGCAAAGCAGCACACCACCCAACTTGGGTGGGTCATAAATATCAAAGATAAGTAAAGAAAGGGAAGCTTTGCGAAAACGAATATCCAGTTACAGTGATGGAGAGTTACTCTTAACTCGTATCCGTATGTCCTTTGCTTTTCTACATTTATTTATGGCTCAACATCCGAGTTTCAAATAATAATAATAATAATAATAATGACCGATCTCAACGTCCTTATCACTTGTAGAATGCCTATTGCTGCAAATTCTTTATTGTTGTTTTGATATTGGAGTTCAGATTGAGTTTCTTTCCTTTCTTCCTCTTCCTTCTCCTATTTCTTGTCCATTTTGGTTTTTTAAAGTTTGTATATTTTTTCACTTTCTTTTGCTATCCCACTTATGGAATTATCTTCCCGGTGAGACTGGCTTATTGCCTTCGAAAGGAGTGAATAAAGGAGACATAATAATATTAATAATAATTGATGTGTGTGCTTATGTGCATATCTGTGTGTTTGGGTATGGCTGCATGTATGTATGTGTGTGCTTGTGTGTGTGTGTGTGTGTGTGTGTGTGTGGTGGGGGGGGGGGGGGGGCAAGCATGCGTATGTACATGTGGTTGCCTATGACTGTGATTATTTCCAAGTCCACCCAAAGTTTGAGGATTTCACGATATGTGTGTGTGTGTGTGTGTGTGTGTGTGTGTGTGTGTGTGTGTGTGTGTGTGTGTGTGTGTGTGTGTGTGCATGTGTACGTGTACGTGTGTTTGTGTTGTGTGGGTGTGGGTATGTTCTTGTGTGCGTGCTCGTGCGTGCTCGTGCTTGTGCGTGCTTGTGCGTGCTTGTGCTTGTGCGTGCTCGTGCTTGTGCTTGTGCGTGACTGCACACGTGTGATACTCAGCTCATGCAGATGGTTAAAGAAATGCAGGATTTGACTGAGGAGAAACGTCAATTAGCACTTGCGTTACACGCTTACCAGGTGGCCCCTGGGAAAAACCAGTGAGTTTCTCAGTTAGAGGAGAAAGTTCGCTTTCTGGGCTGTTCTGTTTTCTCTTTCTGGTTGTGGGGTCACGTTTCTTCAGGGTAAACTGCGTAAGTAGAAGCAGGCAAGCAGAGTGGGATGGCTTAAGACCATGATTAGGAAGGGGGTGTCTCAAATTCAAGTCCCGACTGGAAGCGGAATGATTTTTTTTCGTCCTGTTGCAAACTGCTATCACGTGACATGGCCTGGCACTGACATGGATTCTGTGTTGCCACACCTGCCGACATGTCAGTAGCCTGCCGATTTTTGAGGCCTGTCATGACCTGCCGACAATTGACCTTCTCCTGCCGACAACAGCCATGAATTTGTCCAAGTTTGACCTTGTGCTTGGTTTAGAAGTCATGGTCCAGATTTTTGGCTATTACTGCGCATCACGAGTGTTTCCATAGCTCTCTCCTAAGGCGCTAAGCGAATCATCAGCTGTCTGGGGAAAATCGGCAAACTCAGCCCGAGTCTCACACAAAGCCGTGAAAGGTTTTCTGAACAGTTCCGCGCGCACGCGTGAGTGTGTGTGCGTGTGTTGGGGTTACTATGAGTGGGGGGGGGGGGGGGGTCCGGGGGCAAAGCCCCCGGATAATGCATTTCTATTTTTTTCGTCCTACTGACATTTGGCTATAATGATGTGGCTACACTGTGGATGTGACACATGCATTGGTTGGCTTGGCACTTCTACTTCACCTGCAAGTACATGGATATACGGCAAATGGGATTTCGGCCTTAAGCTAGCGAGGTCAGGCGAAAATTAAATTTTGGAAAACCCTATCGAATTGGGTATCCACGGAACGCCCAGAGCTTCAGGAGTTAAAATCTAAAATCTGGGCTGCGTTAGAGCAGGTAGAAGGGAGTTATGGGTGTTGAAAGGAGCCCGACTACGTGATTTTTATTGTCGCGACGAATGTATGCGTGGGACCTCGAAAAGTGGCACCCGGCACTCGGGTCCCAAGTCGCGACGCAGAGTGCATGATGTAATCTCGAGTGTCACGTGCGTGTACTTTTGCTATGCTAGCGCCACCGCTCGCTGCTCGCAGAGAGAAGTGTACCTGATCTGAGCCGTACATAACAAGCGCTCGAGCCGAAAGCTTTCTGAAGAGAAAATTTGTTCCTTTGCAGAGAAGGGAAATGTCTATTTTATAAATTGTCTTCAAGCATCGCCAGTACTCTTTGATGTGAACCACTGATGGTAAGGTCTTTGGGATCCAGTGACGAGTTGGTAGCAACGGGAGCGGTAGCTGCTGTTGATGGATAATGTAGGAAGAAGCACTTTCTCAAGTTTCTGCAGACGATCAGGAATTTGAAAACATAATTGTGCTGAGAACGTATTGTTTGTTCTGGAGTAGTAGAGAGCCTTTGTTAGAGACATGGCTTGTGTGAAAGTGGATGTTCCTCACTTTCTCTCTCACACAGGCTATGTTTGGCTGACAACTACGGTGTTGCCTTGATTGAGTAACACTGACAGCGTTGGAAGTTTGGAAATAGTTTCCATTTCTGAAATGATGCATACAATTGGACAAAACTTTGCAAGAAAGGCATAGCCTTTCGAAACAGTACCTGGGACTGAAGTAGCCATCTCCTTGCCTTCATCACCAACAACTTGAACAAGCTTATGAATAGATACAAAATGCTGCACACCAGACGCAAGCGAAGTTTAATCGGATTGATGGCGATTCGCTTGCTTCTGTTGCCTTTTAGATTGGTGCACATGCCTTCCCAAAGCAATCCTCCGCCGCTGCTGGACAGTGACACCAGTCGGGAGCCATAACGTCGGTGCGCCTCTTGTAACGCCAATGAAACTTGGTAGTCCGAAGGATTAGAGGGCGCTGAACACGATGCAGCAACAACCTAAGGCGTAACAAGAGGCGCAAGGATGGAAACCCGCCCTCGAATATTGGCAAAAAGCGAGAGACAGCGTGTCGACAGGGAAACGTCTGGACGCCGCGCGAACGGGTGGAGGCATTGCTCCATATCCTTACCAAAGGACTAGAAACTTGAAATCGCACAAAAGGAGCAAGGAGACTGCAGAAGTGAAGATCAAACGCAGGTCAGTTTTGTATGCCTCCCGTGAAACTCGAAAACTCAACTAAAACCTATGTGCCATTACATCATCGATGTTCAATGGTCCAAGCGCGACAAGCGAAGTCCTTGAACTGGTCACGTGTCTGACCTCGCTACTTTAGCTTTGTACTAAAAACTCCCTCCTTTTCTTCTTAATGTATAGCGTGAATCCTTTTCTTTCTCCTTTCGGGTTCGGAAGGGAATGTATGGAACGAGAGGCTCGGCTCATTCGCTCGTCGACTGGTGCACTCGGGAACGCAATAGTGGTCATACTTTGGCATGGTGATACAACCAAAAACAGCGCAACGCTTGCCGAAAAGCATACGCAAAACTAACAAGACGTACTGGTCAAACCTCGTTAGGACGAACACTGATGATGCGAACTTCTCTTTAGTTAATCCTATGGTTGGCCAGGCATCATATCAAGTCAAAATTATTCGTTTACGACGAACTCTGTAGACCTCACGGACCACTTGCCCCGTCTCAAACCCAGACAAATTGTTGTGCAAGTCATCTATTGATATAGATACTTTGTAGTGAACAGTTTTCGGGTATAGCTAACAATGTGTTGTAGGGGAGCACGTAAACTATGTGCACTCATGCGGCAGTCATGGGCCACCTAATGCTCATGACTTGTTGCTTGTATGGGGTGAGTGTATATCTGTTATCATGAGCATTGGCGAGAAAGAACAAATCCTCATGCACGACGGTGTTCATTATATCAGGAGTCGACGGTACTATTTTCTCCTCTTTGATCCTACTTCTTGTGCAGGTCGGAGAATATTCTATTTCCCAGCACATATTCTGCCGCTCGTTTGAACGCATTGAAAGGCAGATTTCAAGCGTCAGACACAGGCATTGCTAACAGGACCACCACGCCAGTGCATGCGCCTGGAAGGCAAGGGTATGTTAGACTTGCCCTTGGAGGTGGTATACAACAGGAAGAGCTACTTGATCTAAAAGAAATTGCTTGATCTCACACGGCAGAACACACTACTGTCACGAGAGAACAGGGAATAGTCTTTGATTTATCAATTTGTGTGATCACAGCCACAACGAAACCGGTACTGCTCTTCACGCAAAACAAATTACCGTACCAGATTGGATGTGTCAATTTCTCACAGTGAATAAGTGGCTGTAACATAATTATGAATTGGTTGTGCTGGGTGTGATGTCACTGCCAGCCCAAATGTACCATACGCTAATATTACTAAGCTGCAGTAAGCAACCAATAACGAACGCAAAGTGGTTCACACAGCCCTTATTCCAAAAACGGAAAGAAATCAGCCAACTGCATCTTAAACAGTACTATTCATGTCAAAGGGCATTCTTAGTCTCGGGTATCCAGAGCGTTGGAACTGCCGTTTATCGTGCCTCTGGTGCTGTAACACTCGTTTGCCCTGCCTTGTGTTGGACTATTCTCAGACGGCAACCAAGTGCAAGCCATGTAGCACCCGCAGCTCGCCCGGCACCCAGAGCAGCGAACCCGAGTATCCGCCTAGAGAGCCCGGCGCCGGGAGCAGGCAGCCGGGACAACAGCAGCATCAGCAGCAGCAGCTCGGAGAGGCTGAGTATGGACGCTCTCCAGTAGGAGCGGCAATCAAGATCACCCCGTGCAGAAAGCAGACAGCCTCGATATCTGGCATGTGCATAAAATATTGACAAACAAGTATCCTCATATTCAAAATTTGAATAAGTATTACATTTCCGGCATAATATTCGTCCTCTTTTCCCAAGTCTTGTCAATCCAACCCTATGGAGAGGGGCTAGCATATTTTCATCATAACAATAAACAGGTAACTTAGTGCGTAGTATTCATCGTTATTTCAGGAGAAAGGCTGCAGTAGAACAAAGTGTTCCATTTTGTAAGTGTTGTATGTTGGGAACAGTAAATTCTCCTTTTTAACTCTTGTTTTCAACTGTTAACATTATGCGCACTACTGGAAAGATGTTATCCTTGTAGAGATTTTCTGATACTTTCTGCACGTCGCGGACTACTTTAGTATTCGACTGATTTTAACCCGAGCTGGCGTTCAGCTGTCCGGCGCATTCTTCGACAATGTAGAGGGGACGGTTTCGAATAGGAACGGTGTGACAGCAAAATTGTGCAGACCCAAACCGATCATCAGCGTGGATTGTTCATTCGAAAATATGTTTGTGGAAGGAAACTGGCATGTTGAAATTTGCTGTGAGTCGATCGAACTGAGCCACTCCTTTGTGTTGGCCCGTTGCCTCCAAGTTACCCGATTTTTCGTCACAAATTAGAGGTGGCTCCAAACTGGAAAGGTTTTGAAGTGCATGTCAAGTTCACACTGAGTTCTGAAATTAGGTAATTGCTATCGCTCCACGACGGCCAGTAGAGAGAAACAATAAGCCTTGTGTGTGCTTCCATAGGTTTTCATTGGTATACGGTGCTTTATTGGCGAAAGGCGAGCCGCTGTTTACCTGCCACAAGAAGTTAAAGGGGAAGTATACCCTAAAATCAAATTTTCACCAGTTGTAGTCTTCTGGGTGCTGAGTCGAATGGTCTTGGTCCGAGGAAGCTGCGACGCTCCCTTCCTACTTGAATCCCAATCGAACTCGCGCACTTCCACCGAAACTGGGTGACTGCGCCCTACTAGATGGGGATTTGTATGCAAAATGTCACTAAAAGCGCCATTTCGTTCTTATAAAAGCACGGATGACCGCGATTGGCCCATATGTTGTAGTCTTTTCGACGCTGAGTCGACTGGTTTTGGTCCGAAAAGGCTGCGATGCAGCGTTCCTCCTTTATTCCCAATCGAACATGGTTGAACAAGCGGTCACGTGCTCCTGGGTGCCCAAATCACCTGGTCACCGCGCCAGCAGGCGACAACTTTCACACCAAGGTTCAACTCGAGTTCAAGTCGAGTGACAGGACTGCACCCAAAAAAGGTCAAACAGGCTAGTAAGTTGTACCCTGCAGGCACGGTGACCAGCTGACTGGTGTACGCAGGAGCACGTGACCGCTTGTTCAACCATGTTCGATTGGGAATAAAGGAGGAACGCTGCATCGCAGCCTTTTCGGACCAAAACCAGTCGACTCAGCGTCCAAAAGACTACAACATATGGGCCAATCGCGGTCATCCATGCTTTTATAAGAACGAAATGGCGCTTTTAGTGACATTTTGCATACAAATCCCCATCTAGTAGGGCGCAGTCACCCAGTTTCGGTGGAAGTGCGCGAGTTCGATTGGGATTCAAGTAGGAAGGGAGCGTCTCAGCTTCCTCGGACCAAGACCATTCGACTCAGCACCCCGAAGACTACAACTGGTGAAAATTTGATTTTAGGGTATACTTCCCCTTTAATTTTTCGAAAGATGTAAACTCAAGTCGCAGTGCGAAGCAACACGTCAAAACCTCACCTGCTTGGTATGGCGCTTCTGGTCATCGCAGAGCCATGGAATTTTATATTTATATATTTATTACAACATCTCAAGACTCGGTGGAAATACCGGCCAATGTTAAAGAGAGTGGGTGATTGCCAACCACGGCGATAAATAAAAGTAAGGGGAGGGAAAAAGAAAGAGTAGCAAAATGAACAGCAACAACTCCGTAAAGAAAGAGAAAGATAATGTCAAATAAAAACAGTGAAAAACACAGAGACGCAAAGGACATGTGGATAATGAGCTATGCATGTCGTAGTAAATAAGGGGCGGCATTTTTGACTTGGAGTACATGTATAACACATCGTAGTCTCACTGTGACATGTTTTCTAATCAAAATACCAAGAGAGAAAGTGGATATTGAGCCCGTTCCGGTTTGCGACCTATGTCCTATTTGAAACCGTCTCCTCTAAGACTCTAATAGTAATACACTGTCACACGTGACTGTATTGTTTGGTGGCTATTGTACCCAACACCCAAAATACCGTCGTCGGTTTGGTACCGTTTCGACCATACTGTCCATAGAAAGCTCTGTTTAGCGATGGGAACGAAACGGTAAGATTCCAACTAGGGTTACGTCACAAGTCGATCGTTGCGTCAGGACTCAGAAGTCGAACTGCTAACCGTGTCTCGATAACACATCAAAACAGTAGACTCGCCCTCTACACGCCGACCGTCGAAAATAGCGTGAACGGTAAAATGCTAACCATGTCAATTATGGTGAATACTAGTACTTCATTTAATTTACTGAATTATTCGTATTTTGCTACTGGTACGAATGTGGCGCGGTCAACCTCAACCAGACACTGCTGATACCTCCACAGTTTCAACTTCTCATGACGTGCATACACTGAGGAAACTGAGGCAGCATACCCCCCGCTCTTTTCTTTTTTTTTCTTTTTAAAGCGATTATTTGTAACATGGAAATTTGTTCCTTGGCTTACCATCTGAGTTCTTAGAGCTATTATACATGTTCTGCTGCCCCGGTTATTTCTTTTATTATTATTATTACTTTCTTGGCCTTCGCTTTCTTGTTATTGGGCAACTTGCCCTTTAGAATCTGCGAAGTAAAATAAACAACAACAACAACATAGGGATTGAAAACCCTTTTATCAACAAGGGTGCGCTCAAATCGGCCACCCCTGATTCCATTGGCAGCAAAATCAAGACGAGCCTGATCAGCGGTCGTTGTCGATAGAAGCCGGAATTTATCTCCAGTGACTGGCTGTAGCATCGGTTCTGTGCACACACCGTGCGTGACCTGACGCAGAACATCAGCCGTGAGGTCCCGAATCTCATGGCGAATACTAGTGCTGGGGAAGCCCCCAGTATTCCAGGGCAGGGCATGGGTGACGTCAAAGTTACCATGGCAACATACGCATCCTGATGGCAGACGTGCTGGTGTCCACCCGTACCGGAGACAGAGGGCATCGTGAAACTCCGCCTTGGACAAACGAAATCCATGGATGCCTAGAGGGCGACACGTCAGCCAGCTAGAGGCCCCCTTCTCCAATGCGAGGGTTTGTTTGTTTGAAGTTCTATTTTACATCGCAAACCAAACGGGCATTGATGCCCAATATTATGATGGCGATAGAATAAAAAGTGTAGCTCGATAAAGCTTCACTTGCGAAAATGAGAAAACAGTCAAAATGAAGTATTTGTACCGGTAATTACAAGTCAAGTTCGAACGAAGTAACAATCAGGGAGAAATAGGAAGATGAGGACCTATGCCAGAGGGAGGTGCTATTCGGCCATATTAACCGTAGAAAAACACTTTCAGCAATCTTTTAAACGGGGTTGGATGACGAGCGGACGTGAGTTCCTGTGGCAGCGTGTTCCAAAGCTTCACGGCGGAAACCAATGGTCGGCTGTCGCCAGATGTTCGCCGAGTTAGCGGAACAACGTATTTGCAATTGTCATTGCAGGGTCAACTGCAGCTCAAGCTGCGCTCCAGCACCATCCTTGAAAGACTTCATGGCTGCCAGGAGGTTGGTTCGCAAAGTCGTACGAATCTCTGCCTTCATGCGATGAACTTGCGCCGTGGTGCCGTCTAGGGCGGAATCTTGGGTTATTCGTTTCTCCCACAGGGATGTCGTGGTCTTGCGTAAATTATGGTAGTTGCCGCCCATAGATATTTTGTCGTGAAATCAACCATGCTATGTAGAAGTATGGCAAGTGCAAGCTAGCTGATCGATTCCAGCCAAAGTGAGTGTATGCCGTACATGCTACAAGTAGTCATGTACATGTATGTGTACATCGTAATTTACATGTACCTTTCAAATTTGCGTAGTATTATTATTAGCACCTGTGCTGCGCTGATGAGTCCACAATAGGCATTGGCAGATTCTGCTCGAAAAGCAGTGACATTGGCAGAACCATACAAACCTTATGGCGGGCAATTCCTCGAATTCTGCTCCATTTCTTTATCCACATACCAAACATGCATGAAACTTACCAGAAAAAGTACCGAATTCTGCCAATTTTTCTGCCTGCCATAAGGTTTGTATGGTTCTTCCAATTTCACTGCTTGTCGAGCAGAATCTGCCACCTTTTCGAGCATTATCCGCCAATGCCTACTTCAGCCGTTTCAGGGCACGCCATTCTTTTCTGTGCGGTGCTCTGGCTCGCCAAACTTGGAAGATGTGATGGCGCTCGGGTAGGTAGACCATATCCGGTAAGGTCAGCAATGACAGACTCAGTGGTAGCTAGAGTGGTGCGAGGGTGACCCAGACCAGAAAACGCTCTGCAGCGGGTGTCGTCACCGGCTGGAAATACAATCTATCTATTATTCTGATAAGTGGGTATACCCAGGTTTCAACAGTGCTCAACACCACAAGGGCGGAGCGTAACCACAAAGGTCAAAAAGAATGGTTCCACCAATTATAATTATATACATACGTTGTAACGCTGCGTTTCATGCACATAGCTAAATGCTAAGCATAGTTGTCTGATGATTGCCTTAGCATTTAGCTACGTGCATGAAACGCAGCGTTACAACGTATGTATATATAATTGGTGTAACCATTCTTTTTGACCTTTGTATCTATTATTATGTACAATGTAAAGTCATGGATGATGATAATTATGTTGTTGGTTTGACAGCATGAAACAAGGTTGGTTACCTAATGTAACCATGTACATGTTTGATTATAATTAATATTATTGTTAGGCTGACAGCATGAAACAAGGTTGGTTACCTAATGTAACCATGTACATGTTTGATTACGAGAGAGCTTGGAAGCTCAGGGCCCTACGCTATGCTTTTTTGCCTTGATGACTTAAAAATTCCTTTTTTTTTGACATAACCTGGGATTCGAACCCGCACTATCGCGCGCCCTGCATTCATCCCCCGATGCACTTCGCATACATACTAATTCTTCCAAGTTGTTTCACATTGTGATCTTGCATTTGAAAGCCCTATTTGAGTTATATCAAGAGTAGATAAACACTCTTGGTTATATGCATTGTGGCCAGCCGTCTTTGATGGCACGGTACGGTAGGGGATAGGGACGGGACAGGTACGATCGAGGGTAATACGACACCGTCTCCCGTACCGTACCGTACCATCAAACACAGCTGGCCACATACAGCTTCCCGCAATATTCAAATAGGGCTTTCAACCACAAGATAATAACGTAACGCAACTTGGAAGAATGGGTATGAATGCAAAGTGTATGGGGGAATGCATGTAGGGCGATAGTGCGGGTTCGAATCCCAGGATATGCCTGAAAAAAAGGAGAATTGAAAAATTTATAACATCCTATGCTTTTTTGCCGTCAGATACGGATAGCGCCAGGCGTGACACAAACAAACAAACACACAAACAAACACCAAATTAAAGCTGTGTGGACCCTGGCTAGCGCCAGACGTTACTGAAGTAACGTCTTCTGCATAGCTACGGGAATAATTAATAGTATTGTTAGGCTGACAGCATGAAACAAGGTTGGTTACCTAATGTAACCATGTACATGTTTGATTATAATTAATAGTATTGTTAGGCTGACAGCATGAAACAAGATAATGACACATTGTATGTTGATGTAGGACGAAAATCACATGATCGTGGTAGATCTACAAGTACAAGTCACACATGTTTTGCTCTACATGTACAGTGTGCATGTGGCTAGCCGACGTGCCTAGCGCAGGCTGTGAGTGTGGGTGTCAAAAACCAGGATAATGACAAGCAGACGACAGTACATAGTCATTGGTACACACATGCAGTACACACATTGGTACACACATGCAGTACACACATGCAGTACACACATTGGTACACGCATGCAGTACACACAATCGTTGCAAACTACAGTACAATCATGCACTAGTGTAGTAGGGGAAAATCGGAATTGAGAAGTCGCAGTAGTACCCAAAATAGACCCAGTTCGGCAGTTGTTTGGCAGCTGGCACTGAGACAGGTCCTGGTTGTCAACATATTCGAAGCAGAGTGGAGTCTACAGTCAACTACAGTCACTGGTATAAATAATAATTTTACTATTCCAGTGGTTAGGTTGGGCTCACTGATGCAGGACAACACAGTTCAGCTTGAGCAGTGCAGTGTGACTGGCTACAACAAAAATCAAACATTGAACATACTTCTTCGAAGAGAAAGAAAGGCGTTGAATGGTTTTTTTCACCCTGAAGATGGGCCATGCCCGAAAATTTGGTGCATTCCATTTATATCTAATAATTATTATTATTCACACACAACAGAGGCGAAAAGCTGTGTTAGCTGTAACTTAAAGTTTCACGCATCGGAGCGATCATCAGACAGCAGCATTCACTATCGAATTCTCTACGAGCAGGCCTAGATATTTGATGCTAGTGTGGAAGTTAGTGCATATGTGCGAAGTGAAGACGTGGCATTGGGACAATGGTATTGAGTTGTTTTGTGAGAGTTAACGGATATAGGTGAAAATAGAGGCGATAACAGGGCAGTGTAATCGTACATTGAGCTTCCTGGACTGGCCTTGTTTGTAATAATTATTATTTATTTTTTTGGAAGTGAAGTGAACGTATGCAGCGAAGAGACCGTAGTTGGGGAGTTTGAAGTGAGGTACCCTGTAATGTGTGAATGGCTGCAATGGAGTCTGCGAGTGCTTAGAAAAGAAAGAAAGGCCTTGCATTTTCTAACCTTTGCAGGGTAGTCTAAGTCACTTTGCGTTGGCTCGTGAAGACTAACTGGGAGCTTTCGTTGGTGGATGCGCCTGGTACAATGGCTGCGAGCAAGCTATTAGGTGTTCTAAATATGGTGTTTACATCGTTGCAAATCTGCTTGGCGTCCCTCAGACCAGGAATAAAAGACCTGAGCTTTGAACTGGTTGCTCCCGGCAATGTCTCTGTGCAATGGATGACGCTGACACTGTCGGAGAACGCTACGATCGACTTCAAGGGCGTATGTCACTCGGCAGGTGCGGCAACAGTTCATTTGAAATACAGACTACTCGTAACGCAGTGTGCCAGCTACTTCGACGAAAGTATAGTGCTTCAGGAAGGCTTTGGAGAGCATCGGATGGAGGGGACAGAGTGGGTGGAGATCCCTCTGATTTGCAAAGCGAGTACTAACGGTGGTGACGATCCGTTGCAGTTCACAGAGGTCGCTGAGAGAGCCTGGCTGAGGAACAGCGAATACCACAACACCTGTCTGGACCCTGCGGCTGGACTGAAAGGGAACGCCAGCAAGGCTGTGGCCGAGGTACCCCCAAAAAACCCAGCAGCAAAGGCACCATCGTGGAAATTGTCTGCTGTAAAGGTAACAGGAGTAAATACACCGGTCGTAAAGGAGGAGCCTGCAGTGAAGCCCGCGGGAACAAAGGATCGGTCGCTGAGTGTGAGTGATCCGATGGACGCCGTGCTTCAAGCGCGCACGCGGCGCAGTGCTCCGTTCTACAAGAAGGTCAAGAAGCAGGTGGTGTGCAAGACGACCAAGCGCCGGGTGTTCACGCTGGTCTTCGCCGCGCAGGCTGACCCCGTACCCAATGGTGGTGATCTCAAGGTTACCATGGATATAACGGTGGAGATGAAGAACCGCTGGGGATACCTGTCTGCGCTCGACTATCCCAATCTGGTCTTCTACGGCATCATGACCGCCCTGTACTTGCTATATGCGCTCGGCTGGCTGCTTGCACTCATGTGCCATTACAAGGATTTGCTGCGTGTCCAGGTCTGGATTGGCGCCGTCATTGCCCTGGGTATGGTTGAGAAGGTGTTCTTCTTCAGCGAGTATAACCGCGGCAACGCCGAAGGCAGAGAGGGCATGTACTTGCTCGCCATTGCTGAGATGGTGTCGGTGGGCAAGCGCACACTGGCCAGACTTCTCGTCATAATCATCTCACTCGGCCCCGGCATTGTACGGCCGCGCCTAGGTCCCAAACTCGTCCCCGTCGTCTTTATTGGTATCGGGTACTTCACGGCCGCGTCGGTCGAGGGTATATTGCACGCTGTGGCCAGCTCCGAGGAGGTCTCCACGACCAAGAGACAGCTGATATCGCTGGCAAAATTTCTGCTCGACGTCTATATTATCTTCTTTATCCACAGGTCCATCATTGAAACAATGCGAACACTGCGCCAAATTCGCAACTACGTCAAGCTCTCGCTCTACTGGCATTTCCTTAACGCCATCCTCTTCGCCGCTGTCGCCTCCGTGGCGTTCAGCACATGGGCGTACCCGCAGTTCCGCTTCTGCATCAGCGACTCGCAGGATATGTGGCTGCTGGACGGCTTCTGGCACATTCTCTTCAGCTTCATGCTGCTCTCCATGATGCCGCTGTGGAGGCCATCGAAGAACAACAGCCGCTATGCTTACTCGTCGTCCGTCGATCTCGTCAGCAACGAGGAAAAAGTGGCGCAAATGTCCAATGAGGCGTTTGCGAGGATGAAGATGATGATGCGCCAGCGTGCTTGGGATATACCGGTTCATTAGTGTTTACTTTCCTGTTGCTGTTCAGTCTTTCCTTTGTTCTTGACGAGTCGTCTTGTCAGTTCTTTGTTGCAATAATCACTACTACGTATTCAATCATCACGTGGACTTGATAATAAAACATGACGCAGTGAACTGGCTTTTAAAGTAACATTCCATTGGTCTTTCTGCTTCTGGGTCTTTTAGTATCTCTGGTGCGTTCGCTTCGTCACTCAAGTCATTTGAAAATTCCGCTTTGGTATGGCGGAATCCAACCAATTGCCTAACACCACAACATGCAGGGAAGCTTGACCCGGCATTGCAGGGAAGCTTGACGCCTCGACGCGCGGGGAGCTTGACCCATCTCAGACTAGTGTGAGGAAGCGACGGAGACAATCCCGAAAACTGCCCGATGTGACACTAGAGCTCACGGACACCGGAAGAGTTACCAGAGGCAAGGTGAAGAGACGAAGTACTGGAGATTTGAATACGTCGGTACAGGAAGTGACAACAATGATCAACAAGAGGAAAACGAGGAAGACCAAGAAGTCAAACAAAAGCGACCATGAGTTCAACGGACGTTGGACGTGTCAACCAGAGCAATCCAAAAAAAACAAGAACAAGGGAAGAGAACAACGGCAAACGTCGAAGGTGACAGAGCTAAATGATCGGACATCGTCCATCAAGCGTCATTTGTCGGGCAGCGCTAGTTGTCATGAGTTGTATAGTGATGATATCTTTTCGATTTTAACTCGTGGAAGGTCTAAGTTAGATCTTGTTGTGTTAGAAGCTCTGTATATTCGTAAACTAGATCCAGAACTATGTGTACAAAAGGACAATAAATAATTCAAAATAATAATTATTACCAAGCATACCTGAAAAAGATGCAGCACACAGTGTGCACAACTTGAATACTCCGTGATGCTAACTGTAAAACTATGCGCCCACGGCTTGCAGAAAGCAAATTATCATTGTAGCGAAGATACAGATCTTCAAGGTCCTGGACACTAGAATGCTGCAGTAGCCCTACTGATCCATTCCATCCATTTTTAACACAAAAGACAATACCAAAGAAAGGCTCAAGAGTCAAGACAATACCAAAGATTTTTTTAATTGCAGGGAGGACGAAGATACGACTAGAACACATAAGTTGTTGGTTGAGAGAACAAACAACTATTGAGTCGGGGCTGATTTATAGTCACTATCCACTAGCGCAGCTGTGTAGGTGGAGCGTTATGAACTCCAATGATCAAAGGTTGACTCCGTATTCTATCCTGCGAGAGTACACGCAACCTGTTCCCCCAGCAGCTGGTCATCATAGACGATATTCGTGAATGCGACACAGTATCCGCAGCTCTCGATATGGTTAACCTGAGCACATATCGGATCGCATCTCTTCCGCAGCCATTCCTTGCCGAACACACCACTGTGTTTGCAGTTCTTGTCGAACTCATACCTGATTGTTGATAGTGTGACCTCGGGCTTCATCGTGTAGCAACAGTTGACGAACGATTCGCAATTCCAATTTGGAAATACGTATGCACCGAATGCTCTTCCCTTACTCAACTCTGCGAACAGTCTGGCAAATTCCACGGCCTCCTCCGGACTGCGACTTGGCAACGCATCGTCCTTCTGCAATCGGCACCCGCGCAGATGCATTTGTTGGTCCTCATAGCGCACAACATACTTGAGATCCGCATCTACATAGAAGTCGTCCAATCGCTGGTGCACTATCTGGAAATCCCTGGTGGTGCCGAATTCATCCATGGCCACACTGGCTGTGTGAAGTATGGCCAAGGCACCGTAGCGACGATATGCTCGAATAAATTGCGTGAAAATGTCATCTGTGGAGCCGCTGGTATTCTCCCGCGAGCTATTTCCATCACACTGGTCTCGAGCCAAGTCCGATTCTGGGGGTACATCCATGCTCTTGTGCGTGAAGGCGATAACCCGGTCATTGGTTTTGTCAAATATGCCTGCAATAGAACACATGGAAAGCGAAAAGTTCCGATCAGCTGTGTGCATGACTACAGAGGTTTATGTACGCAGAGGACATAATTGTTGTTGCAGAGGACATGATTGTTGTTGCAGAGGACCGGTGATGCTATATGGGTTCATGATTCAGCCCTCCAACAAGTAGGCTAGGACAAAGGGAAACATCATGCAGTGGACACACTTGGAGTAAAACAAAACCTTTTTCAAAAGAACACTGGCAAGACAACCTTTCGCCTCAGAAGAACTGGTATTCATAACTCCACAGAATAAATCACGTGTGTAAAGTACGGATTAGACAAACTCCCGTTATCACGAACAATACCATTGGTCCTTTCCTTTGATGTTTGCCCTAAAGAGTTTTGACTATATACGAAGTTCTCGTCTTCTCGAACCCGGAACTTATTACCTGTGACACTCTTAGAACTAAATTGTGACAGCGACTTTGGTTGGTTGTGTCCCACACTGGAGCTCCTGTACTCAAGCCGAACTTTCAACAGTTAGGATTCCTTTAGTTCATTAATCCGTGCTTTTTTCTTTCAGGTGATATTGAATGAATGCAGCTAACAGGTACTTGTAGTGCGTTTCTATGGTGTTTGGATCGAGTGTTGAGTAGCTGCTTACACGTACCGAAATGAAAGTACATTGTGTACTTCCCGTCGAAGCAGTCAGCTTTGGGAAGGATGAGGCGATCGCCGTGCTTCAGCATGTCCGCAGGCACCCTCTTGAGTCGTAGCTCATGATCTCCTATGAATCCCAGTAGAATCCTGCCGATTGCTGCACGAAACAACACGTTTGCACAGAGTATTGACACTATAATTTAGGGGCACATACTCGATGCTATACCAATTTGTGAAACCGGAGGACAACAAAAAACACTTGACACTATCATTTTAAGAAGAAAGGACCAAAGCATTTTGTTGGAAATGAAGAGCCTTTGAGGATGTCGTTGACGGTTGAACTAGCAGACGTTCTATGTCACAAACAGGGTGACCTTGTTGCAACACAACTCCTGTTCCTCGCAATTCTGACAACACTATTCTCCGCACCCGGTGAAAGGTCAATTATCTGCTGTGTTTGGGTTTTGAACAGGGTTGGTCAGTTTCATCAACAATACAATGCATCACTTCAAAGAGGGTCGAACATAAAACAAAAGAACTGAGGGCCGCCGTAGAGAAAGAGAGAGAGAGAGAGAGAGAGAGAGAGAGAGAGAGAGAGAGAGAGAGAGAGAGAGAGAGAGAGAGAGAGAGAGAGAGAGAGAGAGAGAGAGAGAGAGAGAGAGAGAGAGAGAGAGAGAGAGAGAGAGAGAGAGAGAGAAAGAGAGAGAGACAGAGACAGAGAGAGAGGGAGGGAGGGGAGAGAGAAAAACGTTTTCAACTAGCAATAACCACGCTACAGTTGGACTTCATTGGGTGGGGTACTACTACTGCGAAAAGCATGGAATTTCATTAACTAACCCTAACTTCACTTGCGCAATAACACACCTTTCAGGCAAGCAGAAGGCGTGCATAAGGCCAGGGAAAGGTGCGACTGTCTTCTATCAGACAACGTACATATACCGGCACGTGCACTAGAAACGAAGCGTTCGGTTTGTTTCGGCCGCACTTACCAAACAGAAGAATGTCTTGTAGCCTGCGCAGGACTTCCCAAAGATACGTCTCCGCTCCCGTTTTCTGTTTCTGAACAGCAAGTGATGGTAAATGGACAAGACAGCAGCATCGAACCAGTTTCCATGCACGAATTTGAGGACAACGTACAGCTGAAATTGATGTCTTACCACAATGAGGAGGAACAATTGTACGATCATAGCGATCATTGCACATACATGTACATGTATATGAATGTTATCGGTCTTGGTGCCGAGAAACTGCGCACAGTTTGCTGTGGTGTTCTCCATTGCGCAAGGGAAGCAATGAGCACACATCACTAACTACTTGGAACGCTGAGATTTAGTTTTCACTTCCTCTTCTCTCTCGCTGATTTCTTTCTGCAGCAGTGAAGAACGACTTCCGCCTTTATACCTGCTTTCTGACGATCTGAGTCCATGGAAGTAAGTAGTTTGGGCGGTTGAAGGGATTTTGGGCGCTAAGAACTAGGGCGGTCACCTGGCGTCCCGCCAGAGAGAATTGGCAGATGACCGACGAACACTGAGAGATGTTGGCAGAGTGTTGTGACAGTGGCCAACAAGTGGATAACTAGCGGGCAGGAGGTCACCAGCGTAATCATTATCCGCCCTGCAGAATACGTCATGTTGAAAGTTTTAACGGCGTTCCCAGCGTAGAGTAACTAAGATTCTAGTGACTGGCACTCCAACAGACAAAATTAATACATGTGTCTCACTACCTGTGAGGCTGTATGGAATGTAACTGGCTGGAAGGGCATCACATGACCACCTGCAGTACTCGTAGTGCCACCAACACTCAGTTACCGTGTCTACTTGTACAGTGCTGGTAACTGAAATCCGACCCCCGAGCGATGTGTTCACATGCTAGCGGTCTCTACAGCCAAACCTCTTTAGGACGAACATCAAGGGACCGATTATATTTGTTCGTAATAACGGGAGTTCTTCTTATCCATATGTTTTACCCAGTGATAACACAGGGTTTTATCCAATGCAGTTACGAATATTAGTTCTTTTTAGGCAAACATTTGTCTTATCACTATCAGTGTTCTTCCTAACCAGGTTTCACTCTATTTCGTAGGTTTACTATCCCGTGTTGGGTCTTTGCGATGTGAACGCACCGCACCGCTCAGGGGTCGGATTTCAGTTGCCAGCATTGTCCAAGTAGCTCATGACTGTATTGAGGTCGACACCATGATACCATAATATTTTTATCCTTCGACTTACCGCTGTACGTCATGCATACGCTTCTGTCCCAATTATGTCTGTGAATGTGACAAGGGTCCTTGCTGGGACTCTCCCCATCTCGACCGGTACTGAGGTTTTGCACGTTTCTGTGCTTTACAAGATCGCGCGCAATCCAGTACTTGACATCGTCTGCTGGACACTTCACGTATGCATGAACTCACTGAAGGGGCACAACGTGTTTGCCGCGTCAGTCATGTAGTCTTGTAGATCAGTTACGTCGTTACGAAAGACAAATTAATAATTTGTATGTACATGTACATGTAGATATTGGCGGTTCCTGGCAGTTACAACACCTGCGATCATGGTCTTTGGTCACATGTTTGCCATCTATTCTTCTGTTTGCTGTATTGTGCTACTAACCTGGCCTTAGGCTTAGGCGCCATCATGAGCTTCTCTCTCGGTTTTCGCTTTGTACCACACAGCGTAAGTGTTTTTGTGTTTTTGTGTACGGGAGTAGGGGGTACGTGTATTCATGCATGTGTATATGTGTCTTATGTCTCCGAATGTTTCCTGACTTCCATCTTCCCCTTCATCGCTTCCTCTCCGTCTGTCTGTCTCTTTATCTATCTACATGTACACGTATCTCTCTCTTCACTCTCTCTCTCTCTCTCTCTTCTCTCTCTCTCTCTCTCTCTCTCTCTCTCTCTCTCTTCTCTCTCTTCACTCTCTCTCTCTCCTTTCTCTCTCTCTCTCTCTCTCTCTTTTCTCTCTATCCATCTCTATCCTCTTCCTTCACCTCTCTCTACCCCCCCCCACTCACACACATAAACAATCTCCCTCGTAGTTCTTACATTCCCTCCTAGTTGGTTTTGTTCTGACCACACACGGACACCTAACTTTACACTGTGGAGTGTGGTACATAGTGGCTTCACATCCATGTACATGGATATGTACATGGATATGTACATGGAATATTGTATTAATTTTGTGATGTGTCGAACTGGCTTATAGACAGAGGAACCGAGATGTTTTACATAGCAAAAATGTTACATGAAACCCACAAATGCAAGCATTGTTATGGCAGTGAACATAATTAGACAAACCTTAGCGCAGGTGTCGTATCCATACTATTGACACGTGCCTTTTATATTTTAGGCCTCTACGGGACAAGTATGCCTTATTTAGGTGTCTAATTATTTATATATCTCCCGTAAACGGGTTCATAATCGTCTTTATTTTATATTTTCACACAAGGCCTGGGGCCTTCCTTATTTGGTATACGCTGTTATTTCCCCACATGGCTCCCGCTCTTTATGCAACAGTTCGTACACATATTTACTACGGTTTGATACGCTATTGCATGCGGGACCAGCATATCTCGTGGCCATGGACTTCCATGGCCGCAACTAGATACTATTGCTATCACCTTCCTTTCTCGCTCTCTCTCTTGCCTTCCGCCTTCAGGGGGAAGCTTCGGCTTTCGTCTGTCTTGCCTTGTGCTCTCAATATCGTCTCTTGAACTAAGTTAGCTCCTTTAAAGATCTGAGTAAACCTGAACGCTGGTGTGAGTGTACGTGTCTGTATATGCCTGAGTGTGTGTGTGAAAGTATGTCTAGGTATACAGTATGTGCGTACGTGCGTAAGAGTAATTCTGTTGGTGGACTCTCTCCAAGTGGCCACCACTGCACGGCCTTGTAATGTGAAGGTTTAAGTTAGTTCATGTCGAACCGCAGCCTTGGGGTCGAACCCCGGGCCGTCCGGATACGACACAGGAGCGGGACCGTTAGGCGCTGCATCTTCCCCTAGGATTTACCGGGTGGTAACGGACACGATCATTTACTTATTTATTTTTTCTCCAGACTTTTCCCGTTTGTGTCTTTCTCTCAAATCAGTGAATAATTTACTTTTTTATTTATTTTTTTATTGCAGGTACCCCCTTCTGGTAGAGGTACGATCCAATTCATTGATGCCATTCTCTGTAACAACATACCGGCCATGATGCCCTGTGAACCTACTCACGCCCATTTCCGTGCTCTCTCGAAAGCGTCCAAGTACATGTATTCAAAGTAGGTCACTTTGTATCTGTTCACCAATGGTCCATGCTTTCAAATTCTGTGTAAGCTATTTCTCTGATAACATCCTATCCTAATGGTACATAATGTTCTGCGAGGATGTTAGGAAATGCACTGCTTCGTATAATACTAATATTAGTGATAATGTTCTTCAAGGATGTTAGGAAATGCACTGCTTCGACATCTCATCTGTCAGTTACACTCCGTGTTTTCGATTTTTCAACAGGGTTCTTTTTCCCGCTGCTCTATCTGTAACATGTTCAGTTACCTTCGGTGAATTTCTGACTTTCCAAGTGTTCTAAGAGTAAGAGGTGACACAACCACACAGTGTGGAGTGAGTAATGTGCATGTCAATCTCAAAGTAGATCAGAGGTCACGCAGCAACAATGCCTGCAATTATCACCGTCACCCTTACCTCACCACAGCTACAAACACTTGTCTTTACTACTTCAGTACACTAATACTACTACTACTACTACTACTACTACTACTACTACTACTAGTACTACTACTACTACTACTAGTAGTACGTAGACAAGGAGACAGTCAGTGTGTACATGTTCACTTGACTGGCGAAGAGAGCGGCTGAGTAGACCGAGTACCTGGAGATCCCACCAAGAATAACAATGCCGCTTTAAGTGACAGCACGTGACAGCTGTAAAGTAGGTCCAACGCATTCTAGACCGGAAGACTGCTAGCTGTGCTCACTCCACAAACCTTCGAACGTACATGACTGTACTTTAGTTGGCAATCAAAACATCAAAACTACTTCATTTAGCCAGGTAGTGATGTGGTCAAATTCTCCCGGCGACCTACAACACGTGAAGTAATAGTTGGTATGCAAGCCTTGCCTGATACAGTGTGGGCAACATGTTTTCACTATGGCAGCGGGAAGTGCGTGTACGCTGTCATCGTGAAAACACTTGAAGTAACGTTAGTTGTAGGCCACGCCAGGGTTGTTGCTTGCAAGAGATGCGCAGCGGTACGTACATGTACATGCCGCGCGGTCACCAGTCGAAACCTGTGTCGTGAGCATCGAAGGTAGTTCTTGCGCGTGAATGGGACTTCCCCGCTGGCGCACCTCAATAGTCCAATCCAAGCCAGAGAAGACTCAAAGATCTAATCTGACAACGAGAATTCCATGATATCAAGGGAACGAGTGTGTACTTTTATTCCACAAGACACCTACAAACATGTATGATAGTAGTAGGTTTTTCATTTGGACCCGACGAGACCATACGACGCTTGCAGATCACAGCACGAACAGTTCACCAGCCACACTCCACGAAAGCAAGTAGTAGTACTCCTGACAAGTCTTGTTTCGTTCCATAGAGATAATAACGGGGAACTCATCAGAGGAGAAGCAGTTGTTGAATGAAGGGGTTTAGCTGAATAATGCTATTTTATAGAAAAAATATTGGCGCACTGAGGTGTAAACACTCAACTAACTCACATATGTGACATATCAACACAAAAGGAATAGTGCAGAATGGAGGTGTTCTGAACCCTACCAGACACAACTATCACAAGTGCTAAATCATTCACAATGAGAAGGAGAGGTACACAGGCATAGGTTGCGCTAGTTTACACGTCACAAATGGTACTGAGGTAGTGACAAAGATAGGTGAAAAGTAGACGCCAAGTGAAAGCCAACAAATCATCACGAACGTCTAACGTCACATCTGAAGATTGCTAGCGGCACAAGACAAATACTTCACAAACCTCGATAATTGAAATTCAGCCAGCGGTATAGTGAAAGGAAGGCTGCTGGGTGTGACATAGAACTGTGGGCTGCTGAGGCGACGTATCCATCCTGATCTTGACTGCAAGGTTGGCGTCTTACGCTAAAATCCGAACAGCAGATCAAATCCTTCCTCTGGTCAATGGCAGATTTCCTGGTCCAGGAGAAGTCATAATTCTTTGTGCCATCTTCAATAGGTCCGTCAAATACAGTAGTAGTAGGTTTTTCATTTTGACCCGACGAGACCATACGACGCTTGCAGATCACAGCACGAACAGTTCACCAGCCACACTCCACGAAAGCAAGTAAGTAGTAGTACTCCTGACAAGTCTTGTTTCGTTCCATAGAGATAATAACGGGGAACTCATCAGAGGAGAAGCAGTTGTTGAATGAAGGGGTTTAGCTGAATAATGCTATTTTATAGAAAAGATATTGGCGCACTGAGGTGTAAACACTCAACTAACTCACATATGTGACATATCAACACAAAAGGAATAGTGCAGAATGATTTTCCCTTCATTCAACAACTGCTTCTCCTCTGATGAGTTCCCCGTTATTATCTCTATGGAACGAAACAAGACTTGTCAGGAGTACTACTACTTGCTTTCGTGGAGTGTGGCTGGTGAACTGTTCGTGCTGTGATCTGCAAGCGTCGTATGGTCTCGTCGGGTCAAAATGAAAAACCTACTACTACTGTATTTGACGGACCTATTGAAGATGGCACAAAGAATTAAAACATGTATAAGTTACCAACGACAGTTGTCTAAGGTCCTGTACTGCCAGGAGGCACCCTAGAGTAGTGTATGTGTGCTACATGTATAGCATCGCACTATTCCTCTATTTGAGAGAGAGAGAGAGAGAGAGAGAGAGAGAGAGAGAGAGAGAGAGAGAGAGAGAGAGAGGGGGGGGGAGGGAGAGGGAGAGAGAGAGAGGGAGGGAGAAAAAGAGAGAGAGAGAAAGAGAAAGAGAAAGAGAGAGATAGAGAGAGAGTGTGTGTGTCTTTGAACTCGGTCCGACCACTCGGTGCACCACGAGTCTCAGCTACAGAACATCCTCCCGGCTTCCTCTCCTGATAACGTGCGACGCTGCTTCCCCTACAGCATCATTGACGAGTGGAACAACTTGCCCCCAACTGTGCTGCAGTCTCCGCCACGCCTGACGTCCCTCCAGTCGGTCAAGGGCAAGGTACATCAGCACCTACGACAGCCGCTGGTATTGGGCTACAGACTCGCTATAACACCCCATATATCCACAATCAGCTCCCTCCCCCTCACTTAGCTATTCACATGTGTTTCGTTATCCCGTCCATGGTGCGCTGGATAGCGCTAACGCCGATACCCTAGGTCGGCGTTGCTAGTCCTGCCTCACCGGCACAGGCTCCCTGAGAGCCCCTACTAGTACATTGTCTGTCTTTCTTCTTTGTTGTCTTGATCATTATTTTCTTTTGTCTTCTTCTTCTCCTGTCTTTGTTGTGGTCTATCAGTAGGAGATGCATTCTGTAAAAGAAAAAGAAAAGAGAGAGAGAGAGTGAGAGAGAGAGAGAGAGAGAAAGAGAGAGAGGGAGAGAGAGAGAGAGAGAAAGAGAGAGATACATGTAGATAAATAAGCCTTCACTCAAATTTCTGATATTGTAATAATCTGGATTATCAACAAAAGGCTTGCTTCTTCAATTGTATAATAGCGTGCTGGAGTTGTTGTCCGCATTTTGTGCTGGTGTAAGATAATAGCCAACCTCTTGCTGACTGATTAACGTCACTGTTGAGCGGAACTACCAACGGCATGCCGGATAAAGAAATATTGATACAATCATAAGGTTGCTAAAAACGCAACGGAGCCAGATCGCTCTTTCTGACTTCCGTTTTCCGACAGAGCACTTGTAATTGCGCATTCAAAATGCACCAACAACAGACAGCCAGGTGAAACGCACTGGGAGTGGGATGCTTAGAAATAATCCATATTCCATGTTCTGCACTTGAAACCTCAGACTCTGAGCTTCGCCCACTAGTAATAGCAGTCGGTGAGTGATGCTGGACGTCGCCAAAATGTGTGAGTCTCAAGTATTTTTCATTGCAGTCGGACCAATTAAACCGATCGGTTTGGCCAGAAGCTCCGCTGATTTATTTATTTTATCTATTTATTTATATTGAACGATCCCCCAAAGGCGAAAACCCTATCCAGGGGTCTCCAGGATGAAGGAGGTGAATGAACATTAAATTATAGTGCAATCACTACCCATACATCGTCAAGACACTCTCCAAAAAATAATGGTCTCTGTGCTACACCAAACACTTAAAGAAAAATAGATAATCAACCGAATTGTGGGGCAAGACCCATCGTCAGTTTACTGCACTGGTAGAAAATAATAATAATAATGAATAAACATGGAAAGGTCGATTGTCCTCTTGATTGCTATAAAAATGGACAAGAAAAGAAAATTTGCATATGTTGTTTGAGAGAGACCAAGAAAGTCGAAGGAGCTACATTGTAGCTGTTCGAAGAGCGACTGTCATCTAAGGTCTAATGTTGCTTCGTGCATTACGCCAATAATGGAGACCACTGCCACAGGCATGACCCTTTGTTGCTTTCTCACACGCTGCTTCCCTTACTGAAAACCACGCATCCGAGAAGCTGGACTTCCCAGTAATATCTTCAATCTATTGTTGTTGTACACGGTGATACATACGCACGCACGCACGCACACACACACAAACACACATACACACACACATGCACATGCACACACACACATACACACACACACACATACTCAATCTGCGGACAGAACTGTTTCGTCCTTTGTGGACTCGTCAGCGCAGCACAGAGGAAATGGGGCCGAACCTGATATATATATTTCTCGTACATATAGTAATTGCTCAGTACCCCACTACTTTAGCGCCATTAAATCTTCTAAACAATGGTTGGATTTCTATGTCAGTCTGGCATTCAAATCGAGAACACCCACGCACACAGGTATATATTACGATTGAATTGTGGACACTTCCTAAAATATCGGGTCGATGTTGAACATGCACGTAATTCAGTCATGGTCGAATGGTTCTCCTGAAGTCGATGACGTTCTCGGAATTCCTCTATTGTCTTGAGGGTCTCGATACGTGCGCAGGTTGTTTCCCAGATGTTCCACCAGCGTGCTCAGAATTCTAACCATCTGTAATGGTATGGTGATGTACTGTAGTGTAGTGTACTGTACTCAGCAGTGCATGGTGATGTGATGTACTGTAGTGTACTGTACAGCAGTGCATGGTGATGTACTGTAGTGTACTGTACAGCAGTGCATGGTGATGTACTGTAGTGTACTGTACTGTACTGTGTAGTGCATGGTGATGTGCTGTAGTGTACTGTACTGTGTAGTGCATGGTGAAAATTGACCACAAGAGTGTGCATGTGATGGTGTAGAGAACGTGTGTGTTGTGCACGTGTGTTACTGTATCAAAATGGAACACTTCTGCCTGTGTGTTCTCCATACGGAGCAGCTGGTGCTATCTGAGCTGATGCTTCGTGCCATGGCTTACCCGTATTGCCCATATGCTTACAGCCCACCACGCAACTAAGCACCCCATCTGTCCCACACGTCCCCATATCCCCCACTCAGCTCGGAGGTAGTTCGGTCACGTTTAGCGGGCTCGGGCTTTCTAAAGGAGTATAAAGAGGGACTCGGTTGGTTTCTGGCCACGTTTGTGAAATAGTGACCATTCAACGAAGGTTGCAAGACCATTTTATCGCTGCTGACAACTCAACAACTCCAGCCAGAATCGTCTTGCAGCGGTCTGTCCTTGAGAGTAACTACGAGGTTGCACCCAACTGCATTCTCGAGACTTCTTTAGCGACTACTTGTACATCATAGGCAAATTTCAAACTCTTGTTCAGCCGTTGGAAGCAGCTTGACATTCATCACCAATAGTGGCAAACTAGATAAGTGCTGGTCAAGAAAGTTCAGACGCAACCTGCTTTCTAGACGTCGAACTCTTGTCACCCTAGCAATCATCAGACAAGGACATGGAGTTCCTCTCAACAGTAAGTCCTCGCAAAAGGTATTGTTTAACACCACGGCACCTCACGGTTTGCCTGCAATGGCAATTGCGCGCATCACGTTCAGACCCCTGTACATACATGGTTTATACACTTTGGCTAGATTTTATTATCATTCTATGGCTCTTGCTTATTGTGTAGTGACTACTACTATTCCGAACGATCTATGGCTCAGAGCGGCCAATGACCATTGGATTTGGCGATAGCAAAGGCATATCGCCTGTTGGTTTGATTTCGCACGATTAGGAGCTTTATCATACTGAGTGTATGAATGAAGTGTGTGGTCCCGTCCGTACAGCACATCGATCACTGATCAAATCCTCAGAGAGCAAACTCAAGTCTGGTCAGGATCAAACCGCCAGAGAGAAGGACACGAAACTCTGAAGAGAGTGCACCTACGAAAACGTCAGTTTCCGAATTGACGTTTTCCGATGTTTCTGCTCATGGAGCGAAATACAATGCAAACGTATAACGGTCCGTTGTTAGAGTACTAAAGACCAACAAAATAAGTAATTTTATTATATCGCGTATCGTCAGGGTTGTAGTTGAGAAGTGCATTTTTAGGCTGCGGCCAGGTAGGAAACGTTAGTGTTGTGCATGGCAGACTGATTGTACTATAGTAGATCTACTGTAGAGGTGTCCGCTACAGTAGACCAGTAGTATTATTACTACTACAAGTAGTAGCAACAGTGCTGTGACCTCTGGCAGAGGAGAGAGAGAGAGAGAGAGAGAGAGAGAGAGAGAGAGAGAGAGAGAGAGAGAGAGAGAGAGAGAGAGAGAGAGAGAGAGAGAGAGAGAGAGAGAGAGAGAGAGAGAGAGAGAGAGAGAGAGAGAGAGAGAGAGAGAGAGAGAGAGAGAGAGAGAGAGAGAGAGAGAGAGAGAGAGAGAGAGAGAGAGAGAGAGAGAGAGAGAGAGAGAGAGAGAGAGAGAGAGAGAGAGAGAGAGAGAGAGAGAGAGAGAGAGAGAGAGAGAGAGAGAGAGAGAGAGAGAGAGAGAGAGAGAGAGAGAGAGAGAGAGAGAGAGAGAGAGAGAGAGAGAGAGAGAGAGAGAGAGAGAGAGAGAGAGAGAGAGAGAGAGAGAGAGAGAGAGAGAGAGAGAGAGAGAGAGAGAGAGAGAGAGAGAGAGAGAGAGAGAGAGAGAGAGAGAGAGAGAGAGAGAGAGAGAGAGAGAGAGAGAGAGAGAAACAGAGAGAGAGATAGACAGACACACACACACACACACATTCACACAAACACACACACACACACACAAACACGCATACACACACGCACGCACACACACACACACACACACAAACACACGCCACGGACACACACACAGCACGGCAAAACAAATAGCTGCATGTTTCCCGGTCCACACGCGTCTGATGCCGTCTGCTGCATCCGCGTCGCCGTAGCATGAGGACTTGTACATGGTTAATGACTGCGGTGCAGAAGAAGACTCGCAGGTGGCTACCATCATCATCATTATTCTTTTCCTGCGGAAATGTGTCGGAAGTGTGACTTCTTCAGTGTCCAATATCGCCCCAAATGCTACCAGAGAATATCTCAGGCCTCCACCCACGCACTTTGATAGACTTCCGCTGAACGTGCGCAAACCCGTTGCTTCCTGGAAGGCTCACCGAGCACTGTAATTCCTTGGAATTTTTGATATCTTCAGTCATCTTTATTATTCAATTCATAAAATGTTTTGCAGAAAGTGAAGAACCATTTGAGGTAAATAGCCATTATAAATATGAAGAAAACGTTACCCGAGAGTTAGTACTACCGATGGTGCACCCAGTGTGCTGACAGTGCTCAACACCGCCGAGGCAGAGCATAATACAGTACTAGTGATTATACCATGCCAGCCGCCTGTTATTATTTTAAAAGTCATGTATGAACCCACAAAGGTGCAGGCAAATACGGTAATACTGTTTGTAGTGGTCGTAATGATTCTAGAGATGATAAATTGGCTTCCATTCTTCCATTTAGCCTCTGAATATCAAAGAAACTTGTATTCTGCTCGGATAATTCCAAATGTACCCGGTAAATCATGATGGTAGTGCAACAGAAGCAGTTGGTGGAAACTTCCAATTGATCCCTCTCCTCTCCCTGTACTCTGCTGATATGCCCGTGGTTGTACTACAGCTGGTTGCTCCAGACGTGACGGACACCCCATCACATACACACGCCACTGGCCAAGACTCCTGGGCACAGCTGGTCCTGCAAAACATCAAGAGAGGTAAGAAGTCAGCTGGTACATTGGCCACGTGTGCATGATAATGGATCCGGGACTGGTGGCATCTGCGACCCTACGACTCCCTGATAAATATCTAAAAACCCATATACGTGTAGGGTATGTGCCTTCACCCACATTGCTATTCGTAGCTATCTGCTCACTGAGATTGTGGCTGTGATGAGGCCTGACATTGGCCTCGCATTTGCCCTGCACAACATTCTATTCCTACTTCAAACAACTTCGAAGTCTAGACAAGTAGCTACACTGAACAGTATACTGAAGACTTCATTAGTTCTAGGGAGTTATCAAAACCCAACGGCATTGGTATCATTGCAGCCATGTAGAAATTGCCAAATTTCTAGTTTGGAAATATTACTGATGCGTTCTCATCATTCCCCAAAGCAAGCGGATCATCATGCATCCAGGGCAGTCTCCAAAGAAGAAGAAAAATTAAAACTATTGATAGCTCAATTTTGGAAATGGGTGCAAAGATCATGGGAACCCCATAATGTTAGGCTCCTATATTGTATGTCCTATATTGTATGTTGCATTCGCTAGTGACTGAGCTCTTCAGTGTGGGTGTGAATGGAGTATGGCATTGGTCATTTTGACCTCTATGGCTCAGTCCGCAAATACATGTACAGTGTATGCGTGAGCTGTCCTAAAAGGCTCCCACGTCCCTACATATTTGCTGAAGCTTCTTCGCGTCTGCTTTGCGTCGCTCCTCAGGTGGCCTGACCCTGTTCCACAAACTGGCTGGTTCGTGTGTTGTGCGGCCCCAGTTCGTGGCCAAGGATGCTCTACGTCACGGAGATCACGTGATGATGCCCAAGCGCCTGTTCCGGGTGAACAACATCCCTGAGCACCTGAAGAAGACCTACCGGTATTTCCACCATGGTGAGTTACATATACTTGTAGATACAGTGCTAACGTTACCATATGCAATGACCAAATGTGGAGTCTGGTGTTACCATGGCAACAAGTGTATGGTATACATGTACACGTAGTTGATGGTGACTGACAGTATGTGATGCCCCCTACCCTACATGTTCATTTTGTGCTTGCTCATGCAGGTGTCTACATCAAGGATGAGAGTGGGGAATACGTGGTGGGCTTCACATCACCCGATCAAGAGATGAAAGACACAGCTACAGGAAAACGGCAACAAGCAGAGGCGGAAGACAGCAGCAGTGCCCTGACCAACACTGGTCACGTGGCCAAAACTGGTCACGTGGCCAACACTGGTCACGTGAGTAGCACTGACGGTGTTGACGAGGTGGATGGTTACCTTATCCCTGAGGTTTTCTTGGACTACGCGGACAGAGTGCAGAGGAGATCTCGCCATGCTATTCTTGGAATGTTCACTAACCTGATCACAGACATGGTTTGTCACAATCGCATCGTCAAAGAGGACCTGGCTAGTTATGAATATGAGGGTCGGTACATCCGCTATGCCGGTTACCAAGACGATCCAGACCGCACACCGATGGCTAACCCAGGCCTGCAGTCATATCAGGGAGTAGAGTCCTCAGTCGACGAGGCTCCACGCCACGTTCGCGCCGAGGTCGCCAAGTTCTTCATGCGTAACCCACAGGCGTTCGGAGAGTACAACTTGATGGAATGGAACTGCGAGCACTTCGTCAGCTTCTGCTTTTCCACCAGCATGACAGCCCTGGACCTGGAGAGGGCGCTGGAAGAGCTTCCACCAAGCGATGTTGGGAGATTTGACCGTGACTTTCTCAACGATCACTCGCGCACAGCCAGCCCGGGGCTGGACTTCTACTTCCAAGCCGGACTTCCTGTATTCTTCCTGGAGATCGACGACAAGGATAAGTGCCGGCCGCGCCGCCGTTGCCACAAGCGACGGAGCATCACGGGTGACTGGGACGTCAGTGCCGGCGAAGAAGGTGGCATTATACCAGCTTCCAGTCTACGACAGGATGATGAAACGCGTTCACCACCTATCATGGCGAGAAGGAAGCGCACAAAGCGAGGTCGTCGTGCGCTGAAGTTTCGCCGGGGTCGCAGCTTCTCCGCTTTCGTCGAGTCGATCAGTTCCAGCAGATCAGAACTCAATCTAACTCTGAGCAGACTCCAAGACTCTGGTGTGTATCTTAGAACAATGCATCGTGGTAGTGATGACGCATCGATGACGACATCGCCTACGCAGATGACCTTCAGTAGGAGCAGTAGCAGCAGTGGAAGCACGACGACCTCTTCATCCTCGCCATCAACTGCCACTAGCAGCGAAAACGAATCGGCAGTGGAGGAACTGGAGCTATACGTGGATTCAGAGTTCTCCGACAACTCTCTCAGGTTCACCAGCTCTGGTGAATCAACTCTGGTGCTCTCCACAGGATCTCATGTGTCGCTAGCCAAGTCTTTGGCATCACCATGGGGCGACGCAGGATGCAACACAGGAGCAAGTCCTCGGCTCAAAAGGAAGTTCTTGGGCAGGCCCAGGCAATGAGGTGCATGTCCAAAGTGAAGTTTGTGTAAAGAACATTACATGTCGCTTGGTATCACGTACAGTCCTCGGCAGGCAGACTTTTTTCCACTAATTCCGAAACCCCACAAATCATAAGGAACACCATACAGAGGGCATTGAAGGGACTATAAAATAATATTTATAGGAGTGGTGATGGGGTACGAAGTGCTCAGTCGACAGATCAAGTCAACCTATGAACGCCCATGGCCCCTGGACTGTGGGGGGATGCCTGTTGGCATGCTCACACTCTGGAGTCATGCTGGCGTTGTGGACACACGTGTGTTACAGCACTCTGCATGTGCACACTCCATACATGCATGATGCTTGTACTTGATACCGCACAATATACTTCGGAAGAAAGTATCTAACATGCTGTCAAACTTTCACCCTGTTTGCATGACTATTTGCACTGGGAAACATGTACTTGATAGTATGTACATGTATATGACTGCTGCACATGTTCCAGAAACTACATGTGCATGTATATAATTACTTGTATAGTTATTGAACCACGGGCTATTTGTATCTACTAGATTCATAGATGGTCAATCTTGTACAGTACATGTATACTGTATACTGTAGAGGGGACGGTTTCAAATAGGACACCGGTTGCAAACCGGAACGGACTCAATATTCACTTTCTCTCTTGGTATTTTGATTAGAAAACATATGTCACAGTGAGACTACGATGTGTTATACTCCGAGCCAAAATTTCATGGCTCTGCGATGACCAGAAGCGCCATATCAAGCAGGTGAGTTTTTGACGTGTTGCTTCGCACTGCGACTTGAGTTTTACGACTTTCGAAAAATCAACTTCTTGTCGCAGGTAAACAGCGGCTCGCCTCTCGCCAATAAAGCACCGCATACCAATCAAAACTAATGGAAGCACACACAAGGCTTATTGTTACTCTGTACTGGCCGTCGTGGAGCGATAGCAATTACCTAATTTCAGACCCAGAGTGAATTTGACGGGCACTCTAAAACGTGTCCGGTTTGGAGCCACCTCTGATTTGAACTTTTTTGAAGCGAAAAATTGGGCAACTTGGAGGCAATGGGTCAACACAAAGGAGTGGCTCAGTTCGATTGACTCTGGCCCCAGAGCAAACTTCAACATGCCAGTTTCCTTCCACAAACATATTTCGAGTGAAAAATCAACGCTGATGATCGGTTTGGGTCTATACAAATTTGGCTGTCAAAACGTCCCGGTATCGAGCCGTCTCCTCTACATGTACTGTAAATATACAAATTTTCGGCAGCTATTTAATTTCGGCTATATTCGGCACCGACCCAAAACGCCTAAATTAAAACGCCGATGAAGTTTTTCACAGCATCTGTCACACTATACCATGCCCTCTACCCCACGCCGAAAATAAATCGACGCCGAAATGTCAAAAATCGTGAAGTGCCAAAATTTTGCAGCGCCGAAATTTTGTATATTTACAGTACTAGGCACCGGCGGATTATGCCGGCATAATTATTGGCATAATTTGGTGGTTGAAAATTTGGAGCATAATTTGGCATCCTTTCGGAGGTAGGAGCATAACTACAATGATTGTACCACAGTTCAAGTATGCAGGCTACACAATTGTGTAGAATGCACCTGATCAGTCCTGGCGGTCGAAGAGGAGCCAAGGAACGTGTGTAGATTTTTTTGTTGAAAGTACGAGAATTCAAACAAAGCTGGCTGCTTCCTCTATTTCCATGATCGGCCAGTGCCTGGAGCACGAACAGTACATTGTATTACATGTATGTGCATAGACAGACAAATAAACACTAACCTGAGCATGGGTACCGCTTATATTCGGTCAGGAAAGTGAAAGGACGAACGAGAAGATTGTTGACCATGGCGAACAACTGCATATCCAGAGGGCACACGGTTTGCCACAATGGGTTGGCTACATCTTCGCTAATTTTCTATCCTAACAGCATTCGACTTCGAAAAAGAAGAAAAAAGTTCAGCTTCGAGGTCAAGGACGACGGCATTTTCGGTTGGAAATTTCGAATTTTGGAGAAGCTTGCTTTCCGAAAAATGTTCCTTTCACGCAAGGCAGCATACCAGGTCAGGCGTATGAACCAGGTGAACCAGGCAAATTGACGTTAACGTTCACTTTTCACCGTACCGTTTCTATGGTTGTAGCCAATGAGCGACGTTCCCGCGGTGGCCTTGATGAGCCGATAAAGCCCGTGGTCAATTGCCGTATCCGTTCCCGAAGGGAACTCACGACGGCCGCTAACACCCGATAAACCCTAGGGGCAGATGCAGCGCCTAACGGTGGGGGTGAGTGGGTAAGTCTCACAACCACTGGCACAAGTGCCGAAAGCGACCCCATTAGCTGCATCCATGTACCCCTTGTGCCTGGCCACAAGTTCCCAGTTGACTGTGGGTAGCAGCACGGCTGAAAAAACCGCTCCCAGGCAGGACTTGAACCAGGTACCTCTCGTATCTCAATCATGGTCTTTGACCAACCCACTGTGCCTGCCTGGTTCGGTCGGTCAATGGATACGGAAAAATACGGTAGCAATAAAGCCCGTCGTCAATGGCACCCCGTACTCTGTCAGCCTAGCTCTGCAGGGGTCTGTGGCAGTTTTTCGTGGTAAGCTCAGTTCGCATCTCACATTCGACTGTGAACATTTTATTTATTTATTTATTTCTGCACCTCGTGGCATGTCAAGACAGCCAATTGAATTGAGGAGAGGGTGAGACCAACCACGGAAGAAGAGAAAAAAAGAAAATTAAGAGCACGTACACAAAGTGGGAAGGGATTAGCAACTTACAAAGCAATGGGATGCTCAGCGAGCTATGCAGCGAAAGTGGTGACTGTGACTTTGTTTACTGGGAGATACTGAAGTGCTGTCTGACGAGGGTACGGAATTTGGGCATATCTGGAGCTTGTATAACACTGGGAGGCAGTTGGAGCCACGTGGAGTAGGAGGAAAAGAAAGGGGAATTTACGAATAGGGTAGACCTAGCTAGGGGGAGACGAACGCAGCTTCGGGTGGTGCCACCTGAATTGAACCAATTAAGGGACTGTAAATGAGCAGGGTGCTGGTCAAGGAAAATTGAATGCGCCAGGGTGCACTTGGAAGCATCAAGGTAATGTTGCAGAGTGGTAGTGGATGCAGCAGCATACAAGTCTAGATTTGAGGTATAACGATCAGTACGGAATATGATTCGCAGTATACGGCGATGGAGAACTTCTAATTTACCTATGTGGGTTTTGTTAATGGTGGACCAGGCAGGGAAGCCGTACGTGAAGAGGGGAAGAATGTATGATTTATAAAAATTAATCCGGCAATTTTTGGGCAAATGGGACAAGTGACTTGACATTATGCCGACAGATCGGCATACTTTGGACGACACATGATCAGCATGGTGAGACCAGGAGAGGGCGGAATCTATGACAATGCCAAGGTGTTTATGGTGGGGCGCTACAGAGATAGGGTGACCGGGATCATCGGGAAAGTGGAAGATGGGCACTGGATCTGTGGGAGGGGGAAACAGGAGGAGCTCGGTTTTGGTCACATTTGGCTTAAGGTACCAAGTGCTCATCCAGTGAACAATGTCGTTGATACAGGTCTGAACTTTGGGGTACAGGGTGGCGTGAGATGGGGAGGAAGCAAGGACAGTGGTATCATCTGCAAACAAAGAAATATTGGGAATTGAATAGGGGAGGTCATTAACGTATGTGAGGAAGAGCAGGGGACCTAAAATGGAGCCCTGGGGCACTCCGGATGTCACAGACTCGGGGTCAGATAAGGTTCCATTTACTGTGACGCACTGATTTCGGTCCAAGAGGTAGCTAGTTATCCAGGCGAGTAGGGAGCCGGAGACACCATGGGCACGAAGTTTGGCGATCAGGCCCTTGTGCCACACGGTGTCGAAGGCCTTGGAGAGGTCGAAGAAACAGATGCAGGAGACCTGCCGCTGGTCTTTTAGGGAGCAGAGGTCTTGGATTATGCGGGATAATTGCAGGGATGTGTTGTCCTTACGACGGAAGCCAGATTGTGCGGGGTGAAGAAGAGGGGAGATATGGTCGTACAAGCGGTCGTACACTATTCTCTCTAGCAGTTTGGAGACGCAGGACAGGAGGGAGATTGGTCGGTAATTAGACGGGTTGTTCTTGTCGCCTTTATTTTTGTACACTGGAATGACAGTGGCTGACTTCCATCGTGACGGGAATGTGCCGGAGGAGAGGGAAAGGTTAAAAAGAATGGAGAGTGGGCGGGCAATTGAGTAGCTCAGTTTCCTGAGGATCTCATTGGTGATCCTATCAGCTCCGGGGGATTTGTTCAGAGGCAGTCTTGCAATATACTTGTGAACAGTCGATGAGGTGATGATCAGGGAGTGCAATGTAGTTGCTGGTGGAGGTAGAGAGGAAATAGTGGGAATAGGAGCATCGGGGTCAACCTGTAAGCCAGCACTAACGAAGTGGCGGTTCAATAAGTTACCAATGGATGCCGGAGAGGTGCTTGTTCGACCATTGGGGCCCACCATCTTCGAAGGTATAACCCGGGCGCTGGTAGGATTTCGCAGTTGACGAATGAGCACAGGGAGGGATGGGAGGCGAGGGTTTGTGGGAGATATCGTGGCACGGAGGTTGCGGATGTAGCAGCGATGGCAGGATCTGGAAAGGCATTTTACATAGTTACGTTGGTGTTTGTATTTGTTGAAATTTGTAGGGGATGGGTATTTCCGGTAGATGCTGTAGAGATCGCTCTTGACTTTAATAGCTGCTTTCAGTGATGGAGTCATCCAGGGGCAGGGTTTGTGGCGTGATTTCCGACGAGGAGGTGAGGATCTTCCTATATATAGGTCCAAGGCACCTTCAAGGATGTCAGTGAATGCGGAGACAGCCGTGTCGATGCAGTGGGAGGCAAGGACCTGAGACCAGGGTACAGCTGCGAGAAAAACATTCATGGCATTCCACATGTTATCCGTGGCACTCAGGACATTGTATTTTTGTGTAGATGGTGGGCTACGGCAGGTGCTGGCTGCTGTGGGGGAAGACTTTGAGGAGGAGAACTCAGCCAGCAGGACGGCATGGTCTGATGCGCCAAGAGGAGCCAGGTGTTGAATGTGGTTGAGTTGGTTAGGGATGTTGCTCGCGATAAGGTCTAGACAGCTGCCAAGTCCATTCGAGCGGAGGTGGGTGGGAAAGGTTACCGATTGGGTCAAATTATAGCATGAGAAGAGGTTGTCAAGGCTCAGACCCTGTGCATCCGTTTGGTCAGTTGAGCACCAGCCGGAATACCTACAGTTGAAGTCGCCTGATATCACAAGGGCTTCGGGCTTCCTTTGTGTTGATTGCAGGGCTATTTGGAGGCGGTCGAGAAAAGTCGAGAAGTCATCCGTCGACGGGGAAGGAGCACGGTAGATACAGGCTACTGTTAGGTGGGTTGTTGGCAGGTCAGAAGGTGAGACAAGCTTATGTTCAGCGAGTGTAAGCCGAAGTGCTAGCGCTTCCAAGCCCGGTTGCTGAAAATCCGGTAGCTGATCAATGGAAGTGCACAGACCTTCACG